GAAGTTGAAATTGGAACTAATAGTAGTGCAGCCATATTTGCAATTAAAAAAGGGCTAGAAGCAGACAAAGCAAGACATTAGTTTTGACAGGATCAGTTTTGAGAGAGTTGACTGTATAAATATTTATTACGTATATTATTTGTTTGCCCATCTCTGAGTAAAATTATTATGTTTATTTTACTCAATTACGTATTCATTTCATCTAAATTAATTTACAAAGATTCTAATTTGTTAAATTCATGAATTCTTGTACAACTTCATTAATTTTGTTTTATTTTTACCAATTAAAATAGATAAGACATTTTAGGTGTCAAGAAATTTGAATTAATTTATTTAATTTTACTATAAAAATATATATATAATAAGTAAAAAATACTTATTAGCTCACTATGTCAATCCTGGCAGTTTTAGTCAAACTAATTAACAGCCCTAATTCCTATATATTTATATATATATATTTTAATTTAGACATTTCAATATTTTTTAAATATTTTAACATTATTTAGATATTTCGGTATAATTTAGGATTTCAGCAATATTTGGACATTTCGGTAAACTAAATATTAAATATTAAAATATTTCAACAAGCATAAAACAATTTCAGCTAACAACATTATACAGGTACTGAGGTTGCTGAAAACCAGAACAAGGGCAAGAAGTATATAATGGGCACCTAATTAGGAAGGTTGGTGCTTAAGAAATATCTGTAGAATAGTAGTACTTCAAAAGGTGATATGAAATACAAATATAGAATAGCAAGTTAATATATACTAATTAGAAAGAAGTTATAAAATCATGCAGATGAATACATGTGTAGAACATATACTGCTCTGTTAGATTTATCTTAAAAATAGTAAAGTGTTTTAAGGTAGGGTGCTGAATTCTAAATAGGATAATACCAATATCTACTTAGTTTAGTGAGGAAGTTCTTTAGGTTAGAGTGCAGACAATAGTAGTTAGAACCAAATAGTTTAAATAAGCAACTTACATAGTTGAGGTGCAAGTACAACAGATAGTATAGAACTCTTAGCATAGTACTAATGCTTTGAGTAGACTACTTAAATTAGGTACCAAAAGTGCACATGTGGCTTGATGTATCATCATTGTAATTACAATATAAAATATTATTTATACTCTAATAAAGGTTCTCTAGGCCAATGAAATCACTTTAATATCAAAAAAAAAATTTAAGATAATTAAATATATAATCAGTTGAGATTAGCCTGAGTAGCAATGACATCTCAGGAAGTTTGCAACTATTGTTACACTCTATTTGTAATAGTGTTATTTGGGATTTAAAGTTATAAATATGCTCCTCAAAATGTAGTCTTTTAGAACTTAGGGTTAGGGTAAAGACCCAATTAAAGTTAGGATAATTTTTGCTCTCCAAAACAAGCAAGCTATGAATAGCAAAATGGTAATATAAAAGGACAAAAAAAATAGTAAAATCACTTAGTTATCTACTCTGGATAAGTTAAGTGAATTGCAAGAAACCCATGACTTGTATTTTTTATTGTATATAAATAAGCTTTTCTTTGGTATTTTGATTCATTTGAATCTTGCTTATTTAATGTACCATTGCAATTATTTCCTTATTATTTGTACTATTGGCACTATGAGTTTGTTATATAAATATATGTTACCATCACTTCATATAAAAGATATACTATTTTGGTTGTTGTATCACATTATACTTAATCTCAATAATTAGTTTGTGCTATAGTTTAGTTATGTGAATATACATTATTTATGTACTGCTAAAGCTTAATAAATTTTTTTATTTAAATTTATAACTCTATAAAAAAGAGTTAATAAATTTATAACCATGGTTACTATAACCACATTCAATAAAGCCAATAAATTTTAAAATCAGATATAACATAAAATCAAACCAAAAATTGTTTTTTTAAAGAAATCATTAATAACACAAAATTTTGACTATGAAACCATCTTTTACATTCTAACAAAAAAAATTCCTTGCTAAATTTTGATATAAATTATACTTTATTCCATTCCGAGCCTTATCCTAATCCTAACCTTAATTGCAAAGTTTTATTTTTATAAAAAAAAGTTGTTTTGATAATTATGTTACACCTGATCTTAATTACGGTTACAAAATTATATTGTAACCTATGGTTACAAATAAATTAGTCCTATAAAAAAAATTTTAAGTTTGATGATATTTGAGTTAAAATTTAAAAAGAGTGCTTATATAATTTTTTATTAACAAAATAAATAAATAAATTATATTTATCTGGTCTGGTTTTGTCTAGTCTATTTTGATCCCGATTTAATATAGCTTAATTAAATAAGACTAGCCTAGATTGGTTGATCTTAAGATTAAAAGCAAACCAACTTTTTTTAGGTTCGAACTGGTTTTAAAACTAAATTGTGGTATATTAGTTTACCACACATAACTTTCTACTTGGAACTAAAAATTTAACACAAAACTGCATCAAAAGTGTTTCTTACAGAATTTAACCATGTTCGGGAATACTAATCAAAATTTAAGTAATACTATTTGTCAGCCAAATAATAGCGATAAATGATTGAAATGTAGATCATTAATCGAGTTTGGTAAGAATTAAAAATATTATGATGGTATATATAACACAATTATATAGCAATAAAGGATAATGTTCTACGTAGCCTTAAAAACTCTAAAGTATGTACGTACATGTTATATTTATTATACCATGATGTGCACACCATTTTTTTTTATTATAATGAATAATAATTAAATATATTAATATATAATGAAGGATATTAATTTGGAAAAGTTTAAAGATATTGTATGTAATTTACCAAATATACAAGTCTTGTATCTGTAGATGAATAATTATACGTAATCAAAGGTAACTCATGTACGACTAAATAAACTAATGCAATCAGTACCAATGGATCACTTTGAGAAGACACAATGATTCTCTTAACCATAAGCCAAAAATTATATATAAAATATGAAAAAATTCGACCCAAGTATCAAGGATATAAGAGAATTGTATGTAGTATTGATAATACCCAAAAATAATAACCTACAATACAAAATGAATATAATAGAATAAGATTACTATTATTTATGTTGAGTACAAATATGTTTATAACTTTGTGAAAAGCTGGATGATAGGGAAAGAATGGCGACCAATATTAGTCAAAATGTCTACATTAAAAAAGAATGAATGAGGTTGTACAAAAAGCGTGTAATAAACAAGACCAAATTTTAGCTTTGGTGGATAAACAATCAGCCGTTAAATATAACAAAAAATTAAATTATGGGGAGGGGAGGTGAACTCAGTCTAAAATAAACGCAAATAAAAAAGAAGAAAGGAAATCTATTAATAATACAGTGAATAAAACCAAACATATTAATAAATTAAGATATACGCATGCTAAGCCAAAAGTTCCTTGAAAAAAAGTCTAAAATATTTAACAAAACTAAATATCATTAGGGTAGATTTTATGAATGAAAATCTACATGTGAACTTTCAGTATTCATGGGAAAGCCCGGTATCTGTCCAGTAAGATCTAGCATTGTCGTCGCTGGTGGAGATGGATAAAATTTTTGTTGAAATGGATGGCAAAATGAATCCATATCATTTGTTACTAATTGATCATGATCAAAATAAATGCTGTGATCTATTGATGTCATATCCATAGTGAACTCAAATCCTGGTGTTGAATAATCAGCATGATGGTTCAAATTTGGATCTAGCAGTTGCGGATACATTAAAGCTAAAATTAAATTTATTTATTTATTGTTAATTGGATCAAATTGTAAATATAAATTTGAAAATTATCATAACAGATACAATATATACGTACGGTCATATAAACATTGTTGGTTTTCAATTAATTGATTGTTCTCTGTATTAACCTTAGCATCTATCAGATCTGAATGGTCCAAATCGTAATCATCATCGGTGTTCCCGTTGCTATCATCGTCAGAGCGTGAATCTTCTGATTTAATATGAGTAACGGAGGAACTTGCCGACTCCTGCGCATTGGTGGTGGTAGGATTATTATCAGCTTCAATTTTTATTTCAGGGGAATTCGAATTTGTGCTGGTGTTGGTGTCCTCTATAATTTCATCAATTTGTTGAGGTATTGGCTTAGATTCCTCGCGAGGTGGTAGAGGTTCTAGGCCTAATTGTTCTCTTAGTCTGTTAACCTCCTCACGCAGTGATTCGTTTTCACTTCGAATGCTTCGCATCTCTTTATCGTGCAGATCATCTTTTTGACGAGATGTATAGATAAAATCTAATGACTTCTGCACAATTATTGACTTTGAAGGCCTACGAACTTGCGCTAAGGAAGGTAATGCATGGGCAAGCTCTTGAAATTTGGTATTTAAACATTCCCGTCGTGCCCGTTCGACAGCGTTGTGGTTGGCTCGTCTTTCAGCAGAGTTAGTATTCCTGTTCATTAAATAATATTTTTTAATATGAACATGAATACAACCTAAAATCTAATAATATGATAATACGGTGCTGGACAGCATAACTAATACCCTAAAATGATTGTAAACTAATCATTTAATTCTTATTATATAAATAAGCTTATTTTTATCTGATATATTGCTGATCAGTTTTTTTTACATTGTGAAATAAAGGCTAATTTGATTTTAACAATTACTTCAAGGCATCAGCTTATGCTATCCCAGCACTCTGTGATTTATAAATATCCAATCCCAAGAAAATGTAGCTTACTTCTTCGCAGCGTTTGCGACTATATGAAGTAGCGTTTAAGCATATATTTAAAGAAAAAAAAAAATTAGTAACTTGATTTTTTTTTGCATAAAATAAAAGTTGATAAAAAAAATGCAATGAAAAGCGCTCAAATTAACATCCTGAAAAAGAGGTTAACTTATTTATTTCTTGCAGTTTTCTCACTTACTTGAAGGAATTTGAAAGGTAAAGTTTGCACAACCCGTAGGATGATGCGAAGGCATTCGGCTGGTTACGGCGTGTAAAGAAGGAGGGTTAGGAGTGAAGCTGATAATGGTTCCACCGTTAACGGTCCCCATAGTTGGCTGATTGTTTATCGCTTCAAAGACACATACAAAGAGGGAAGAAAGCCAAAAGGACGCCGAATGCCTGAATGGTTGTTAAATACAGACGCTTAGCCAGTGACAACCGAGGAACGAGGAAAGGTAAACGAAGATTTAGAATACTAGTTAAGCTGAAACAAACGAAGTCTTTTTATTGAGTTTGAGACCTTTTTGTTATGCAATAGTGTAATACTTATCTATTTCTGTCCTACTGTATCAGAGTTAACTACGTAACACCATTGATAAACAGAATTAATTTGCGAAACACTTTCTTTTGATAACAACGATAATATCAATAAATTTATGGAAATCCGTTTTCTAGAGTGCAACTATACAAAAACACGAACAAATTGAATATTTTTAATTCCACTGAAGAAAGTTTTCAAAAAAAAAATATTTTCTTTTTTTAGCAATTAAACAAAATTAAAAATGGTTGTATTTCCTGTATTTCCTAAACTGCGTAAATTATATATATAAACTAAAGTAGATATACAAGTTTTAAAGTTATCGGTATCGGTATATCAATTTTATTATACATATATCAAAACTATATAAAACCTTTTTGCGTCATTAAAATAAAACTCCCGTGTGATTACCTAATTCTTTAATATTTGAGTTAAACAATTTAGGGTTAGAATTATACGTAGAAACAATTTTAAGACACCAGACCTGATACAAAATCTTTTTGAATATGATTGGCTATTACTGTATATTGGTTAGAGTTTTAGTAATATTTTAAAAAAAACTATCTACGTCCGTATATACGTACATATATTCAAAGTTGTATATATATTTTTAACATGATAATATAATATGCTATACCGGGTGTTTGATAAATCCCTCTTTTTTAATCACTAAATTATTATACTGTATAAAAAATATATATAATCTTTAAAAAAGGTTCTGTCTAGGAACTTATCAAACGCCTGGTACATATATATATATACTGTATATATACTATATAATTAAAATAAGCTAGATACGTAAATACGTGTTGTAAATGATCTATATATATAATCTCTATAACCTGGCATAGGTTATTGGTTATATCGAAATTAATAACTTTATACGTACATATAATAAGAATCATAATAAAGGAATTTTTTATTAGTATATATTTACTATAGCCAATATAATTTTTAACCAAAGTTATTTGATTATATAGTTAAAATTATATTATATCAATATTATATAATTTAGATTATTACTATATAGAGAGGAGTTAATAGAAAAGAGATAAATTATTTTAGTAAAATTTTTTTATTTTTAAATTAAAAATCCAAACAATTATTTAATTAAAGAATTAATCTAACTATAACCGGTGGTGATCATCACCAGGGTGCCTATATCTCAAAAACGTACTAAGTAAACGGGATCGGGTTCTCTAAGTAAAAATGTTCAGGACCCCCAAAAACCTCATAAGAACTGAAATTGGGCTCTATTGGGCCCTTATAGTAGCTTTATAATATTATATTATATAAAAAAAAAATAATTATCTAATTTCTAACCCTAAATATATCTAGGGGTGGTGACGATCATCACCAGTTATTTTAATTTTAATTCATTGCTATAAATATAAAATTTTTTTTTTTTTTTTTTTTTTTTATAATTCGGCAGCCTTGCCTCTACTTTATTAGGTTTAATAATATTATACTTTGAAATATTAAATTTTTTAGAAGGCTATTCTCTCTAACATCTAAATTATTACAAGTATTAGCTTATCTAGTTGTTCTCTACAAATACCTATATACAACCTGCTATAGTAAGGTTTACTTCTGTATTAATTTACCCTGCAAATGAGTTTATTAATACTTCATCAGATGGTTTTTATAGCCTGTCAAGACTACTAATTTATTTTCCACCACTCTGCCCTTTGCCTACCATTTATCCAACTTAAAATTTTATTTTTCGCTATATTTAATATTGACTCCTATCTTGCTTCAGCATTATTCATTTGTCTTTTTCTTCTGTGGGTCTTATCTGTTGGGTCTTTCTTTTCATTCGCTATTATTTTTTCTTTCTTTGTTTTCTCTTGGTATTTGTGCTTTTTTTTTTCTACATTATACTATTTTTCTTCTCCCAGGTCTGTACTAATTTGCATCTTTCGACCCAAATCTCCTCATATATCTTTTTTATCTATCTCTTCCAAAGCCCTACTATAAAGTCTCTAGCTTGTACATTAGATATAAAGATTAGTTATATTTCATTGAAGTCCTCTTTTGTAATCAGGCCTCTTATCCATCTCTCTCTTCTTCATAACTCTTCAGCAAGGTTTTCTTTTCCCATTATGATCAAAATCACCTCTTTCTTTTTATCCAAGTTATGCACTTCTTCCATTTCTTTAAGAGTCATCTCTATTTCTTGCTCTTTGATATCCTGAATTAGCTTTATCGATATTTCACAACTTACTAAATGTTCAATGCTTTCTGTTTTTTTTTTGCATATAATACATTTATCAGTTTTGTATACTTCAGGTTTTCTCTAATTGAGCTTTTCAAACACTAGCAAAACATTGTTTATACACTTTAATTCAAAGAGCTGTATTGTATTTGATCTGAAGGTGTGATCACGCTGCTTAGTTCCACTCTTCAAGATTTTATAAAAAATTGGCCAATACTATAGAGTTGCTCTTTCTTGATATATAGTATTCTGACTGTTATATAAAAATATCCATTCAACCCTATTTATAACTTTTCCAAATATTTTCATAAAAGAGCATATTGGTTTTTCTATAACTTCATTTTTCTATTTGTATTTTATTTAAGATCTGCCAAATCATTAAAAATATCTCCTGAGTAACCCTTAATTTTTTTGAGATGCAGAGTTAATTGCTTCGTTTTGACTACCTCAACTATCATTACAATTAGACCGCTATTTTTAATCTTAAACTATTGTCTTGCTTTGTCTGCTTCTAGCCCTTTTTTAATTGCAAATATGGCTGCACTACTATTAGTTCCAATTTCAACTTC